TCTTCTTTGATCGCCGGCTCTTGTTCTTATAACACATCAAAACACATATAGCAAAAGCTATAAAAATAGCTTTGCATATCAAATCGATCGCTTGCACTATACATGGGCTGCTAGTTTTTTTTCTAAGAAAAGTAATAATCATCTGTATTCTTCTAGTAGTATTATTTAGCATAAAAGTATAATACGCTAATAAATATAAGTCTGGTTTAGGTTAAAGTGATTTAAATATAAATATAGATATAAAAGGTTATCTTTATTATATCAATAAAATAATCAATATTATTACAAGAAAAGTGATTCTAGTATATAAGATGATATCAATTGCAGCTTTTATTAAAGAAGCGGGTTTGCTATCAGGGATAGTTGTATTAGAACATACCAAGCTATAATTCGTATTTCAATTAAAAACAATCGATAATCAATATTTACTAGTAAATCGTTTAAAGCTAATAATACGAAAACGCGGACGAGGAGTAGGTATAGTAAGAGGGCCTCTTATAAGAATCCAGTGGCTCAGTTATCTTATTCTAGAGACGCAATGTTCAAAGCTATTTCGTTTGTACTTTTCGATTAGCTGTAGAATGGATTCAATGGAAGGATTAATTAAAGAAGAAGTAGTTCAAGTCTTCAAAAAGTGGTGGTAACAATTTCTATTTAAAGATTATATAATCTTTTCTAACAAATTAGAATAAATTATTAATTGTAAATATTGTATTGGCTATGGATATATAATATATCGCAATAATATTCAAATAGTCTTTGGATTTAAGCAGATCCAAAGCGATTCATATATATTTGATGTAGAAGCAATAGGAGTATAACACAAATTGAAATATCTAATTATTATACTTGAAGATCCCTTGAATAGCCGGATCTGAATATATATTGATAGTATATTAATCATCTAGGATATACACAGAAATGTATTGTTTACAATACAATAAGCCTTTCACAAGTATTACAAAGCAATAAAACAATTCAATATCAGGATAAAATGGTTATCTAGATATATAAAGATTGAAGATAATAAGGAAGCAGATTGTTTAACAAACACAAGCATAATTGGGCTTATAGATTAGATAATCAACAAGCTATTAATAATTAATAGGGTTTGAATAATTGTTTATTAGAAGCGTTTATATATAGAATTTACCTGATAGAAAGAAATGAACTTTTTTCTTTTCGCTGACTACAAGAAGTAGTCTCCTAGATACAATACAAAGGAGCCAAAGGAACTAATTCTACCAAAAGTAATTTTATATTAATTGATAACTATAAAAACAGGCCACGGCGATTATACTACTTATTATCAGTAATTTGGTTATCAAAATAATAAGCTGGATTGCTTATATAACAGTATTAAGGAACTATATTACTTCTTTAAATATACTATAAACAATCTAAAACATTCAGACTAACCCTTTACTTCTATAGAAATACAATTTAATAAACAAACGATTACATATATCAAGAAACTCTTATATACATTTAGCAAACTTATTTAACTAATCACCAACTCAAAGTTCTATACTCAGATTTGTTCTAATTACTAAAGAACCCTTAGAAAACAATAATCTTTTCAATAAAGCTTACTATTCATCTTTTATAAACTCATTACTCAATTGATTACTCAAATACACTATACCTTTAAAAACCGCAAACTCAATATATAATACAAGAGCCCTATTGCTCGACTAAATAAATAACAATTCACTTTTGCTTCTTCTCCTCTACCATAAGAATCGAAGCCTACAACAAGCCTATCCACCCAAAAACCAAGCTCTACCTCAACAACAACCTGGATCAGATATTCCCTTCTAGAAACAAAAGCAGATCACACCCGCAGAGGAGCGAATAGCCCCTAGCATTAAAGTTAAATTACTAAATTCGGTTGCAATGATTATACTGCTCAAATAGTTCCTTATCTTAGCACATCTAAATACCCTTAGGGAGGTCCAAAACAGATGTTAATTAATATAAATAAATAAATAAATAAAAAACATCGATATATGAAAAAAACTCAATTACAATAAAAAAAAATACTTACTAAACAAAAAGCTCTTGATATATTATTTCAATAAAAGGTTGATATTTAGATTCAATATAATGAGTATCAAAAAGAGAAGAATTCTAATACTACAGTATCTTCTAATAAATGTTATAATAAATGTGGGAAGACAGGATATAATACAAGAACTTGTCAAAATAATATAATAGATTCTAGATTATTAGATTCTTTATAGTTCTAATCAATTGATTCAATTGTTGTTGAATAATATAGGATTGAAAGTGTAAATTGAGGTGAAAGTGACCCATTCACTGATATGACCCACTCACTGATAAACCACGTTATAGCAATGATAGTAATTAGTATTGAACGAAATAGTAGAAATAAAATAGTACAATTAGACAATCAAGAATAGATTACAACAATAATATACGGAAATGAAAAGGGTAAAACTATTCCCCTATTTCTAGTAATTCAAGAACAAATTCATTTTTTCAATTAGTATACCGAAATGAATCTTCCTATAGAATAAGCTATTAAATCTATATCTAATAGGTAAACGAATAATAAAACAGATTTAGAATAATTGAAACACTTCGATAAATATACTAAGAATCAAAAAAAGAGTAAATATTGAATATTGATATTAGATAAGTATAAAAGCTACAAATCAATAGCTTTTCAAGTATATTATAAAGAGAATGATATTATATACTTATATTTACTATCTCATTCAAATTATTTAATTCAGCCACTTAATATTAACTGTTTTAGTAATCTGAAATATTTATATAATAATCAAATTAATAGATTTATCAAGATATATATTAATTATATTTCGAAGATTGAATTCTTTATAACTTTTAAAATTGTATATAAAGAATCAATCATTTCTTAGAATATAAAAGCAGGGTTTTGAGGAATAGGTTTAATTCTATTTAATCCTGAAGCTGTACTCTCGAAATTAGATATTCGAATTTGTATACCTACCTCTCTCTTTTTCAATCTAAATCAATGGATCTCTCAAACCCCTTGCAATTCAATAGAAGCTCTTTTATAATTAATTTTAGTAAAATCTCGAATAACTCATTATCAATCAAGCTTCTCTATATCTATATTCGAAACTATACTAGCTCTAGCTAAAAATATAAAGAGATTAGCTTATGAAAATATACTTTTAAGTACAGAAAATCATACACTTCGAAAAGCAAATAAAGCATTAAATAAACATCGATATATAAAAAAAACTCAATTATATCAAAAAGAAATACTTATTAAACAAAAAACTCTTGATATATTATCTCAGCAAAAAGTTGATATTCAGATTCAATACAATAAACATCAAAAAGGGGGGAATTCTAATAAAAAAGCATTTTCTAATCGATATTATAGTGAATATAGAAAAACAGATTATAATACAAGAACTTATCAAAATAATATAATAGATTCTAGATTATTAGATTCTTAATAGTTTTAATCAATTGATTCAGGGATGCGAAGACTCAACACCTGTACGCGGTGCATCCTACGAACCTCCAGCTCTCTCTTGAGAGTCTGCAGAGCTAAGATTGAGTCGCAGATGGAATTGGAAGAATTGGAAGGAGAGAGGTTCAGAGATATAGCGAAGGATTATATTACAATTTTACAACAGCAATACCTACGAAGAGTTGAATACCAGCTTTAGACACAGATACAAAGGTTATGGAAACCCCAGTTAGATTCAACATCTACCATCAATTATTATTTCAAATATAGAAATATGATACGCAGTAAATCTCTTCTTTTAGAAGAGTCTTTTCGATATAGAGCTTACCGCCGCTCTATTCGTACTACAACCCTTTTTTATACCCTTTGGCTTTCAGCTACTCGAATACTACAACGACATAATATAGAGAATGCCATCGCCTTCAAATTAATACCATGCTCTGGGCATCGATACAATACAACGTTTTTCTTTTAATTTTCGAATTTTCGAATTTTCCGAATTGATTTGTGTATGGGCAATAGGGCTTAGGATTCGGCCCTGCCCCACTATTTTCAACAGTTTCGACTATACACATTTAATAAGAGCTGGAGGATATCAAGCTTATGAAGATATACAAAGGGCTAGTTTAAAAGAGATAAAGATAGAGAAGAGTGGTGCCTTCTTCTGCTACCTCACTAGCAAGAGGACCCTTTGCTATATTGGAGGCAACTCGGGAGGGGATAACTCTTGCCTTTTATAGAAAAGGAGGGATAGCAAATTGGATTTAGGATTTTAAAAAAAGAAATTGGATATTGGGATGCTTTAATTGGATTAGGGGTAGGGGAAGAGTGAGAAAGGAAGTATCTCAGAGAATGAAGACTATTTAATCTCTATTTGCACTCCGAATAGAGATCGAGCATAGCACCCCAGCATTCGTTTTTACTCCCCCAAATTGAATATATCTACTATAGATATCCACTAGCAATTGTTAGGTTCTTAAAGCCTAGCCGTCCTAAATAGTCTTGGACTGAGAAAAGGACGTTAATTAAATCAATCAATCAATCAATCAATCAATCAATCAATTGATTCAATTATTGTTGAATAATATAAGGTTGAAAGTGTAAATTGAGATAAAAGTAGTGCATTTGGTGATATGGTGCACTCGGTGTTAAACCACGTTAATAATGAATTCCAACTTTTCATATGAAATAACATCTTCGTTGGAAATGATTGTAGAACAAACAATCAACTTAAACCAGAACCATCAATCACGAGATTTATCACGGGATTGGCCAAACTATTTTTCTTGTATATTTATAATATTCTTAATCTTGATTCTTGATTCTTCACGTAAAACAATCTCGAAGAAAGGGAGTCCAGAATCCATCATCCGAAATCCCCTGTCCGTATACAGACATCAATAAACATTTCTTCTAGATTTCCACATACCCTATACAATGACGCCCTCACGCAGTAAAGCAGAAATAGGAAACCCAAAAAGCCAAAAAGCCCAATTGCACAACAATGTTAAGTTTTCAATACACTCGTCCTACCACCGACATTTTTAATACTCGTCGCCTCATAGCTAACATTAAACTCTGTCGTTTTTCTCACCCCCTTTCCCATCTCCTCCAAGATAAACTCTTCGTCACTATCCCTAGGCGTATTCGTTGTCGTCTTCCCAGTGATACTCTTGATCCTACTGCCCCTTACACTACCATCATGACTTGGGAGTGCGTTCTTGGTTCCATAATTATCTTTCGAGAAGTTCACACCATATGCTGACGTTGTCGTTTTGTTGCGCATCAACCAGGGACAAAACTTTATTATGGGAGCTTTTAAGATTGGTAAAGAAGCGCAAATTATGGAAACATTGACTTCGAGAAAGGTCCATGAGTTTGACGTCGCTTGATAATACATTGTGTCCGTCGCAGTAATGGCTGGTCCGACTGTGGCCATTCGAACGACGGTGCATGCAATGACACTATTGGACCTATTAGTTGATGGTGTACAGTCGGCAATTTAGCTGTGAGATGACTTGGTGCTTACAAAAATCCAAGACTAAACATTAACACCAATCCAAACTTTTGACTTAACGGAAGTTGAAGTCGTCGAATTTGATAAATTGGTAAGACAATAATTATCAAATCAGTTACTATCGCCATTACAGATGTGCTATACCAAACTTTTCCAATTTGTATACACGAACCAGGAAGAGCTTTATTCCACGATTTTTCGATGGGACTATACAGTTTGATTAGAGAACATTCCACAAGATTGGAGTCAGATAAGAAGAGACGGTCACTTACTTGCATGACCAAATGGTGGCACTGACTGCTGCAATGCTGTATACAATGACTATTCCAATAGTGGCAAAAGTTGCGATTCTGAAATTCTTCGAGGGAAATATCCGTAGGTAAAAAAGACACATACTGATTTTCGTGAAGCATGAAGCGATTTTGTACAAAAGTTGAGCAGCAAAGAACCACTTCAGAATATTAGTTTGGTGCTGGATTAATTGAGAATGGATATGAAAAGAAATAAATTGAACTAAATTTAAGGGCCTCGATCTTATGTTCTTTTGATACTTGCTAAGGAATGTCAGTTATGAAAGTCGTCGGAGATTCGGGGATGTATAGATTCATACCGAGGTGTGCAGACCGAAACCATTTTTGGCTTCCATATTGAACGTCACTGCCATGGCAAGTGCCATTAGCTATACACGATTAGGCTCCGTCATCATTGCTACTTCGCGCTGTTGATATCTCCTGGTAATCCCAAGCTAAAATGGCCGTAAAAGACCTATGTCATGACTCTCGCTTTCCAAAGCAGCGAAGAGCAGAAATCTGTACATACCAATGCCGGCACAATGAACCAATCATCTATCTCCAACTTCTGCATAAACACTCTCGTCCCTAACCTCGCGCTGACAAAAAAGAGACTTAGACAAGCAAAGGCAATCGCCAAATTCGCAAGGTTTTTTCCCCTAGGATTTGGGAATCCATCGTCGATTGCATCTCTAGCTAATAGGGTATTGAGATCGAGCTGAAGATGTGAAAGAAGCATCGTCGAAGGGCTAGTCAGATCTGTGGGAGGCATGATTTGACAAATGTTGACCGTGTCAAGATCCTTTTTCCTTAGCCAAACAATGAACACGCAGAAGACGAGCGTATGAGAGAGGGCAATGATAAACGAATATCGGCAAGATAGTCTGGGCGATTTGAAATTTACAGTGCAACACCTAAAAGCACTGTCTATCTATCCCTCCTTCAATCCAAAATCTGCTACGAACTTTCACATTAAAAAGTGGGCACAAGAGAAAGGAAAGCTTGATGATTACGAATAAGCAGCTCGACCATTCACTAAAGAGGTCCAGTGTGCCACTTTACAGACTACTGCAGGCACCTACCTATATGAGTACCTGCATAATGATTTCTACGCACATTCATATCCACATTACCCCCTCAAACATGCCCCGGGGCAAAAAATCACCTTTCACGGAGTATACGGAGTATCTTCAAAACCTTCCTCGGGAGTCATCCGAATCAGTCATTTGCGCTTGAAGATCAGAGCTCGATCTACTCTTGCAAGGCTTGCTTGCACTCCCTGTTTGCCAAGTCGATGCTTCCAAACCACCTTACAACAGTGGGATCTCTTGCTCCCAGTGTTTTCGATCCAAATCAGTATCTTAGGGCCGGCACTTTGAAGCATCCTTATTTATAATGGGCACTTTGTTAAACTCGTCTACCTTTAGAGTTTCGTGGGGGATTGAATGGAAGGAAAAAGATTCAATTAGGATCCTGCAAGGAAATAAGTTAAAGCAATCTACTACCTGCCCCCATGTCCATATCCATGCTTCCCCGTCCAAGGACATTATTAAGGCAAGAACCGTCCCTTGCAGGTAGTTCAATACTCCAGCAAAAACTTCGCATTTCCCCTCGATATAGAAAAGCTTGGTTAAATAAACTTCTCTTCTCAGGCTCGCTTGGAGGTGTCAGACTAATTGGTACTAAGTAGTGGGTCCGCTGAAGAATAAGACATGACAGGGCAAGGACTATCTGGCGGGGTTATCCCGACAAATTGCTTATTAAATGAGAATTACCGAGGAGGTGGAAGACTGGGAAAAGTATGTTGAAAATTTGAAAAGGAGTCTTGATAGAAATGAGAGGTCTTTGAGTGGCTCTGGCATGCGTGGTTCATTGTGCGCGTTTCCCTCTTGCGTAGTAAAATGTGATTCAGAATTGGAATTTGTACTTTTCATTCACATATACTTTTGAAATGGTCACTTCGGTAGTCAATCAGCAACCGAGGTTGTCGATCATTGGGCAGCAAAGATAAGATGGAAACCTTATTATGACATTGGATGAGGACTGATAGTTTTCGAGGTTGAATCCCAAAACGTAAAGCATTCTCAACTTGAAGGTAATTCTATAATCAATACAATACTGGTACTGACATGGAAAGATACCATCCACGTTAAGCCGCACGCTAAATCAAGCTTTGTTTCACGGCCTGGAAGCACTTCCGAGCTTCCAGGGTTAAATACACGGTATATAAGATGAATGAACAACGCACATGATATATATTACGCTTATATTCTTACCCAACACGGTCTCTAAGGATTCTGATATCTAGAATATCTTTCTCTACAAATCTAACAAGTGGTTTCTAAAAGATGCGTCTTCAGCGCTGCAACTGCCGCATCTCTAATGGTGTAATCAATCAATTTTCCAGTTCCCGGAGCAACAGCATCCATGAAATCATACGATGACGATAAGCTACTGAACCCGCCAAACTCTTGTCTGACGTCGATTACATTGATAAGACCTGTAGAACTAACAGTGAAGTTACTGCCAACACTTATTTCTCCCGAGCTCGATGATGTTGCTGATGTATATTCAAGCGCAGCAACTTCGGTCGTGACGCCCAGCTGATTTGCGATGGCACATGTGACGCAAGCTTGGTTGGTAGAGTTGAGAAGATATAGATTAGCGGCGTACATAGCGCTAATAAATCGAGTCAATTTATCGACTTGAGTAGGATCTGAGAGTGCGGCTTGACTGGTGGTGAAAGCAGAGGAAGAGACAGGATTTACAAACTCGCTAACGGTTGCCAGAATGTTGGGCTTCTCGGAGGGGTCGAGAACTTTTCCTTCGGCTGTGAATGGATATAGGAGCATTGTTGCATACACTTCTGTTCCGTTGGGAAGGACCCCGGCGATGAGGTCTGCGTATCTGAGAGGGGTACCTCCAACGGTCTAAATTCGTAATTTTAGCTAACATTTCACAAACACGAGCAAAGAGAATGTACCATGAAGTAGTAATCGCCATTAGATAAGTAGAGACCATATTCGCTCAAAACTTTTTGTAGTAGGTATGCATATCCACTAACTGGTGAATCGACAATCAATGGCTTCCCTTTCAAATCTTTTACAGATGTGATATTTGGAACGGAAGCAAGAACCAAGTCAGGACCCTCATCTAATTGACCTAGAACCGTAAGCTCTTCGCCTGAGTTCAATCTCAAATTAACGGCATTGTCGATGGTTCCGGTCAAGATATCGAAAGCGCCATTGAGAGTTTGTGCATAAGCATAGGTAGAGTTAGGAACCTGAGTGTAAACGACATTCAAACCATAAGCCGCAAAAAAACCTAGTTGTTGGGCGACAGAGTAAGTAGCGGTTGGCACAAATGCACCATAATTTATGGTAGTCAAAGCTGTACTGGCGTTTCTGTATCCTTGGATCTTTAAGGCCGCTGCAGCCCCAAAATAAAGTGAGATTGGTCTGAACAACATCCTGAGATACTTGGGAAGGGATCAGATGCCGATGACTAGATGTGAAGATGCCTTGTGATTCTGTAGCGCGGAGATTAAATGATCTTGCACAAACACAGAACAAAGACTTGCAGACGGAAAACAGATTGGTACAGAAAGCAGTGAAGGACGAGCAAGGAGTGTTGCAATCAAAACTATGTGAGATCTTGAGTTGCGATCTTATTGCATTTATCCAGTCCCACTTTCGGCGGTGAGCTTCAGTAGGATGTGATCGCTAGTTTTTGAATATCCATCTTACGAAAATTGTATGGAGTAGGAATGATAAGAAGCTTGAGAACTCTCTACAAGCTCTATAGTTTGAATTCCATACTTGGATCGTTTTCCGGATTCACACGCGGAATCTCATATCTCACACCTATAGATTATTCCCTGTTGACTGATCGCATAGACCAGAAATCAGGGAACGTTCACACGATTCTGGCATTTTCTCGATAATGAACGCCGAGGTAATACTATTAAGATATTGAAGAGATGAAGAAAGTGGATATCGAAATGAGGGAATTGTTGGTTTGAACTTTGAAGATTGTTAGGCTCGGGAAGTCAAGCCTTGCTAGTGCCGAATCTTAGCAAATTTTTCCCCCTGACATCTCCAAGCGGGTGGCACCCCCTGCTTCGGTAGTCTACTTCCGATACTTCTTGAGCTTGCCTTGCGTCCCCCCCAATTTCCTCTCAATTTGCGACAAACGCGCCTGCGGAGAAGAAGCTTCAGCTGATCATTGTTGACTACCTTTCTCTCAAATGGACATTTATCAGCGTAAGTAAATGTACAAAACAACATGGATAACCACGGCGTGTAGATTGAGGACGAAGATCAACCAAGAAAATCTCAGTCTCATGAAAAAGAAGTCTTCCCGGAAATCTTTTTCTGATGTGTAGTTTAGACTATAACAATCGGTCCCAGGCTCTGTATATTTTTCAATATCAGCGGGATCCTTGCACCTTGCACCAAATCGTTCGTTGAGATCAGAACGATCCAGAACAATTGCACCACGGACCTCTCTCTTGACTGGAAAAGGCGAGAAAGGGACTCAAAATAGTGTATGTGGGGAAGTAAGGTTACCCGCTGTCAGTTGGATTTTAATGCGAGCAGACCGTTGGATATGAACTTATGATACCACCAGCACCTACCTAGTAGGAAATTTATTCATCATCACACGGGACATGGAATTTCCTATTTAATTACTCCAGTTTCTTTGACGAAATTTCGATCTGATCACTTTTCTTGATGTAACAGCGATCGAATTTTGGTGACTGTAGTTCCAATCAATGGCTCCCCTTTCTGTCTAAACTATTGTTGGGTCGTTCATCCTGGTAATAAATTCCCTACCGTGCTTTTCTCAATAGTCCCAAAGATCATTTTCCATCCATTACAATCTCTATTTGCCTGCAGTCTTGCTTCTTGCCTTCACCTTTTCGAGTATTTCTTTACCACTTTGACTTTCATAGCATTCGACACCCCCATTTAGACTCTGTGCTATTTCTCTCCCGCAGCCAGTTTTCAATTTCTTGCCTTTTTTCTGCCTTATTTTTGACCGTTTCCGTCAGCTCATGTCCATCTGCTCTCTCTTTCTCTCCAATTATTCGTCTTCCCTCGTCAATACTTCTAGTCGAGGTCATGATGATTTAAATACCTCCCCTGTAACTTCCCCACTCTTGACATTCCAAGATGAAACACGTATAACTTGTCGAGAGATCATTTCACATCATTGTTATTGCATTTTCGCCATTACAAATTAATTATGCTAAAGGGCACCTTGGAAATGCAGCTCAGTCTTTATTCTCTACATTCACAAAAAAGTATCGACATCTTTTTGATCATACTTCCTACATGCCACACCAAGTCTTCATTGAGCTCAAAATTCTGACTTGCAATCCACCTTGTATTTGACTTCTCTTCTCATTTAGAACAACGATTCACAAGACCAACTCTCTGGGGCATCTACATTGCCGTTCCATCGTACTTTGCCTAGTTGGAAATGCACAAATGGGACGCTGTTTTGCAACCGTCAAATCGTCATTGAACTTAGTTGCGATGATGCTGTCAGGCGCAGTACCATTCTCAACCCATGTCATAAGAGCAAGAAGAACATCATGGCGGGGATCAGAATAACCGGGTGTACTGTGAGCTGAAGTACTAAGAGTAGCGGCCTGATTGGGGCCTGCAAAGTACCAGGGAGCATTCATTGTAGAAGAAGTTTCAGTGCAATGTCTGTGAATGAGAGGTTAGTCTTTTGCAAACTGAAGTACATAAGAATGGGGACAAACTTACTCCAGACCAGGCACTAAGAAGAATCGGTAGAAATTATCAACTTCTATACCCATCGGGGCCAAATTTCTCGTAACATGATCGTGGAAATACACACTCGCGCCAGGAGCAACAGTTCCGTCAGCCAATCCATGATAATGGAGTAGTTTCCACCACGATTATAAAAGGGCGAAAGATCGAAGTTGTTGGCTGACGAATTTCCAGGATCTGTAGCATCGGCGTACTCGACGGTCTCGTAAGAAAGATCGGCGGCGGTAAAGTTGGTAAGTCCCAAATGTTTTGCATGTAACATAATTGATTCGCGGAATTTGATGCACTACCATCTCCAATGTTACCACTGGCCCAGGTCTCCTCACTCCCGTAGAGGACATGACTGAAAACGTATGTTTGATTGACGTCGACCCAGTCATTGTAAATAGACAGAAGGGTGTCAAGTTGTGGACTAGTAAGGCAGAAAGTAGTCTTCTTTGCCGTGCAAACCAGGGTCAAAGGATTGAAATTGTAGCCAAGAGGATCAGATATGATCGAATCAGTCAAGCCGTCCTGAGGATCGCATTGACGAAGTACCTCCTCACCTATAACACTGAACATTGATGTTGGAATAGTATGCGAGGATTTAGCTGGTGATTGATAGAGAGTTTGCTTCAAATTCCAAAGCTGGTTATGAGTAGTCCACCAAGCTGGGCAACCAGCAGCAACTCCGTCATAATCTTCTGGGAACATTTCTAATTCCTTTAAAGATTGGCGACCTCCTGTTGAGCATCCGGTGTAGTAGCTATACAATGGAGCACTTCCATACCACTTTTCTGTGAGCATCTTACCAATCACAGTCATTTCATGGTTTGCCCGCCATGCCCAGTCAGTGATAGACTCAGGGTTTCCAGTCCATGAACTACTCATATCAGAGTCAGTGTGACCAGTATCAGTTCCTACAGCTGCAAAGCCATATCTCATACCAGTGGCCTAATATCAGAATGTACTAGTTGTTGAACCTTAATGCCTTGTATTTAAGGTTACTAGGAATGAGGGGTAATCAGGATCGACAGAGGCTTATAGAAGATTCTAGTCTTGTAGCGACGACGACATTGATTAGAAATACAAGAGATAAAACAGAAGGTTCTAGATAGTCCTGAAAGGCCTATATATACAGGTCCTCTATCATTGTAAATAAATAATCAAGTTGAAATCAATATTCAAGAAAGGACAATATTAAATCTGAGTCACCACTCGCGTATATATTATATATCACTTATATATATATATATGATAAACCTCTGAACAAGACTAGTCAGTGGAAGGAGGGAAGAGGGAGGGATGCAGGAATGGCTTAAGCTTAACTTACCACATCGATGTAATTGATTCCCTGACCACTCTGAGCAGCTCCAAAAAATCTACTATTCCACTTGGTAGGTAACATCAATATGAAACTAAAATGAGTATTGACCTCAGTAGTGATGTTTAGTTGAACGGCACAGTTTGCAGGCATGCCAGTTGGGATTTGGCGGCTGGAACTTGGTGGAATAAATGTGGAATTTTCCAAGTAAGCTACTGCAGATAATACTTGTCCAGAAGTTTCATTAGCAGCCAAAAACGACTGGAAAGTTGAAATAGAACAATTCGACGTCGAAGCCATGCTTGTTGCAGCAAATGGTAGCATAGCTACGACCTGGTGTAGGAACTTCATGATCGAGAGAAGTCTCCGCTTAAACCTCGCTGAAATTTTGTAAATGCAAAGAAGGCGTGAATTTTTCAAGAATCAATGTTGTTCTGCATACTTTATATAGATAATTCCATTCTCCTTGCTAGAGTCGACCAAGAGAATAAATTACACTCAAGAGGGTCTGTCAGACCACGAAACACGGGTACTTTGAGATAAGATACCATCATTGGACCGTTATTGGGTTCCCAAGCTCCTCTAGACCTTATATAAGTAAGATCTATGCTTGATCAGTTGGTACCTGCATAGACGACCGCTTTGAGAAAAGCTTGACAGTTCCTTATTCTGATTGATATTACGGAGGTAAAATACAATTCTAGGGCAAATGATTCATAAATTCAGATTAACCTGCAGATATGCAGTTATATGTTGTGAACATCTTGGTGTTTTAATTATTCAACTGATTTCATTAGCCAATCCGAACACAGTAACTCAGTCAAATCAAGCAACTACTCCCCGCATTTCAGCTCCCGTTCATTGCTAATCTCGATTGCCGATCCCTTTTTGTCAATTACCGCGCAATAAATCTGATACTTCAGTCCGAGAACATTAGTTTATTACCTTAAAAGGTCAATTTTATGAATTAAGCAAGGTGACGCGCGGGTTTCTCTGAGGAAGGTGATGTTCTGATACATCCAGATTGTGCACTCGAGAATGAGAGAAAACGAAGGCTGGTGCGGTGATCATATGGGCGGCGAAGCTTTGATAATTAATATGTCCACGGAATTAACAAAGCCAACGATAATACAGCCAAGCCTACCTATGCCCTGAAGACCATTTCCAAAATTTCAATCATAAAAAGAACATTCTTTTTCACGCTCCAATAATACAGCCCTCTCTTAAACCCGACACAATGTCCCTGTATCAAGATCATAATCCCACTCATCACTTCTTACACCCGCCAATATATACAAACTCCCAGTAGGATCATACTTCTTCTTAATTTCCGCCAATCGATCGTAGCTTGTGCCAAAGAAATCGTGTTTTCCACTCAGTGTTATAAGGATTACCCTCATTAATATATGCACCCATATCTGGTGCCCATTCTCTCCATAACGCTTCTTTATTCTGCTCCATCCATTCTGCTGCCTGAGAAAGCGATTTCTTAGGTGTCAAAGTGTCATCAATCGTAGCACCGAGTGTGATAACATGTAAATATGTCTCTCTCCAGTCATTGGAGTAGTGTAAGTTAGTATTATGGTGGCTGATATAGACGTCACTGATACTACACTAATGCGTATAAAAAGTGATATTGCTCACTACCGTGCGTATGATAGGCTGTACGTATTAATGGATATATACTGAAATACAGCTTAGAAACTGAAACATTTCAATTAACCAAGCAGGTAGACAAAATCTAGTATTAATTTAGATTAATTAACATTCCAATATGATTTGAAATAAGCAAAAACTAATATAAGAAAAAACTCGATAAAAGACTTAAAACCACTCAAAATATTGCTATCTCTTTATTATTATCAAATTAGAATCTTATTAATATTATCTTCTACAACTCACTGCTCTAAATCAAGCTAAGACTTCAAACACTCCAACCTTTCAATGGATTCAATTGATAAACGTCCTCATCTATCAATACAAATGATTTTTACCCCACTAAAAACTCTTTCAGCCACTACCGATGAACTAATATTGATAAAAATTCAAGTGCCATTTTGCTGAGGTTAGAGTATAGATTCTGTTGAGTTTTTTCAAGCCATCATTTTCTAATATTATTAATTTTATCAAAAGCTGGGCTTGATAAGTATTTTGACATATTCATTAACAGGTTATCAATTTACACATTTTAATTCTAAGTGTGTAATTAAAGCATTATCATTTTTATTAAAACTCAATATTGATAAAAACGATAATAGGGGTACAAAAGCTTTAACTCGATATTGTGTTTGCTAGTAAGCTTTTATACAAGCTTTTGCTCGAATAATCCAATATGGATAATCCTATTGATATTTATTTATTTATTTATTTATAGTAATTAACATCTAATATCTAACCTCCCAAGGGGTATTCTAAACATACTAAGGAGCGGGCCTACAGGCCACTAGTGTTCTAGCCGCTTATAGTAGTATAATGTTAGCTAGTCAGGGGCTTGTTGCCTCTGGTATTCTCCTGCTCAGTATTGCTTATGGCGATTCTGCGGCTATTTTATCTAAGGGTTTGTGGTTTTGTTTTAAAGGGCTTGTTTCATATATCATTTGGGTATTGGCGGATGATTAGGTTGATTACTATCATCGGGAAAGTGTTCGGAGCGTTTATAGTTATTCGGTGTGGGTCTTAGATTAATTGGGGTGGAGAGCTTATCTTTGGGGTATTAGAGTAGGTTGGAATTCGTGTAGTTTCGTGTAGTTTGAGTATATCCTAGTATAAAATCTGGATCTAGCGAGAAGGTTAATAAAGTTATATTATATTTGCAGAACGCAATTGATATATGCTATTGTATTTTATTCGGATCGAAATCGATTTGGTTGTAAGCGGCCAGTCGTTGCGTGTTTGATTATTGATTGAATATTGAAAGAAATGTAGTAGGCTTTTCTCAATTCTATATATATAGATGTTTGTGCTATTTTTGTGATTGAATCTAATATGATAAGCTGTAAAGTCACCGTATTCAATCTGCATCGTTATAAGTCTGTATAGTATCCCACAAAAAAGCTTGAGGCTTTCCAGTTTCGAGGTATTATATATCGGTTTCTATACATTATATATTTTGGAGATCAAATCTCTTTTTTTTTCTTTTATTATCTATTCTTGGAGTGCTAATATTTGGCATGTAGAACAGAGCGGAAACTGTTGACTGTAGGGAAACAGGATGGGCTAGGGTCAAGCGATCTAGCTGTGTTTGACAGCACACAACAAATTTCGAAGGAAACTTTTTCTTCGAAATACGATCTTCTCACGATCGCTCTAGATTATAGTTATCAATACAATTCCATTGCAATTATCTCCAAGTGATTCTGGCCAGTAGTTGTTGTGATACTGCCGCCAACACTTCGAAACACAAAACGCACGCGAAAAAACGCGTGAAAAACTCTGTTTCAAGACTTCAGAACAGATAACCCAATCTTAATATCAATATGGAACACTCCGATTGTATAGTTGTAAAGATTCCAAACTACTAATCTGAATACTCTTTCAAATATAGATATAAGAAAAGCCACCCCAGACCAATCTATAATACCAAATACCTATCCAGCAATTACTTCCAGCCCGCCTAGTAATTCCAAATTTGCCTACTTATTCCAGAAGAACCCTAATCGAATTAGCAAGGCCTTACTTTATCAAATCACTCAAATAACCAATCCTGAAATCAGAATACAAGATTTCAGTATACCGAGCAATCCTTTTATTACTCAAAAGCCAAACAATATCACTCAAATTTTCAACCAAAACAAAAAGCAAAACTCTACTATATTATTCCACCAATCTAAATAAGCAATTCAAAATCCAAAACAATTCAATTACTCCTAAAAAAACTATTCTAAAAGCTAAGATCTCATAATTCTAGCTTCCACTCTCTCTCAATCACGTGACAAACAATCTAAGCTATTAGATCTTTTAGAAATCTTTAAAAAATACACTGAAAAGGAAATCTCATTACAGCTTTCAAAATCATTACATCCCAAATCAATCATTTGGAACAGCTACACGGAAAATCGAATCTCAAACCAAAGCTTTAACCAAATCGACTCCCATCAGTATTACAATATCAACATCAAAACCTTTTTATACTAATATTACAAAAGAAGGGGAAATAAAATCTAATTATTAAAGAAAAAAGTAATAAATCTATTCTAATAAAGAAAAAGACTAGTATTATTTAAAAACGATTATTTTTAATCAAATCAGAAATCCCTAACTTCAAAACCTTCTCGCTCTTAACGATTCGAAATAGATTAATAAAGCCTTCCAGGAAATTGGAATCAAAGGACTAATAGTTACTATAGTAATACTTTTTTTCAATAATAATATTATTATTACTATTAATGATCCCTTTACAACACAATTCCTAATTGAAAAGAAAGCTATCTGGAAAAATGTTATTAAATTCGAAAGGATTCAAAAAGATCAAAAATGATATAGGATTATTATCACAATATTCCTATAAAAAAGTTCTCTGAGCCCAAAAAAATAGATTTGATTATAATTGAATCAAAACCTTCAATATAGATTTCAAGCTAATAGGAATTCTCTTTTGGCTCACTCCAATAGCCAAAAAAGCCCATCAAAAGATGGCATTATCGTTATAGCTTTTGCCTCAAAATCAGAAGTCGAATTAGCTATTCAAAAGCGATTGTATATTGCAGGTACTAGTATCAGAGTAGAATAATTCTATGAATCCAAACCTACTATACAATGCCAAAAATGCTAGGGCTTTGGGTATTAAAGCTTGTATTGTAAAAAAGACTCTTTTTGCGGATTGTACGGAGACAAATATATTATAATAATACACCTCTATATGGTCTGTAATTTAAAAGGAAAACTCTACTCTCATATTATTACCAAATGCTTTAATTGTTAAGGAAATCATATAGCTAGCTTTAAAAGCTATGAAATCTTCAAAGCTATTCAATAAAAAAGCTAATAGTATTAATCAATGTATTATAATAATATC